TGTTTTATATCATATATAGCCTTCCTAGATAAACGGACTATCCACAAAAAAGGAATTCGAGAGAGAGAGAGAGAGAGAGAGAACAGTAACAGTATCGGCCTTCGACGTGGCTGGATACCAGTCGAGTTACTCCGTCGAAATATTCACGTCAGTTAACCGTACAACATGGATGTTGATGTGTCTCATGTGTCTAATGTTATATGTAATTATAAACTACGTGTAAAAAACAGCCATCAATCCCCCTTATGTTTTTGAAGTGGGTTAAAAAGGCATTTGTGGTTCCCCTAGTGTTGCGAATGTCCACGGGCGGTGACTGTTGAACACCGAGTGGTCCACGTAGTACATCGTACAGAAGCCCGTGCAGTACTGACGTCGAGGCTGTCCTCGTTGAGTATGACGAGCGGCATGGCGGCGTGCAGGAGGCGCGCGGAGTGGCCGATGTTGATGGCGGTCTCCTGCTTGTCGCCCGTCAGCACCCACACGTTGATGTTGGCCTTCAGCAGCGCCGCTATCGTCTCGGGGACACCGTCCTACGAACATACATCTTACTTAATATTATCAGATCAACAAAAAATGTACTTCGTTAGCGATAAAAACAGTAGTAACGACATACAAGAATGCTGGTTCTATCGCATTGAAAAGGTTTTATTTTAAAATTTTAAACCTTTTTTATGAAAAACCTAATAAAATACCGGACGGGTTTTTTACGGTTTTATTTGGTGTGGTTACCTGCAGCTTGTCTTCAATTGCGGTGGCCCCGAGCAGCCTCAGGTTGTTCTCAATGAGCATGGCGGCCTCCTCCAGCTTGCGCTCGCGGTCCTGTATCGCGATGCTGGCCTTGTGGTACGTGTTGGCCCAGTCCTGCAATACATGTACCCACACGTGGAGGAGACCAGGCACACCCGACTGATATTACACTAACGTTGTATTTGTTAACACTTTCTAAGTTATGGGTCACTTATTTTAATTAAATTCCAAGCCCGCTTGTCTAGCATGGACATTCTAACCAATCGTTAACTTTAATATAAACAGAACCATGTCGTGTATAATATAAGAGTAGTTATACTTATAAGTATGCCAAACTGCCTTAATATCAGCCCCAGAATATTACGAAGGGTAGATGTCAAACGGTTAATGCACTATCATCGCATCGCACAGCATCGGTTCGTGATTTGGGTGTCTTGATGGACTCACAACTCTCATTTAACCTACATATCGATCATGTGATCAAGAAGTCGTACAGGCAGCTTGGTTTTATTACAAGAATTTCAAAGCCATTTAAACGAGCTAGTACTTTAAAGTTACTTTACTTTAGTTTTGTACGTTCTCTATTAGATTTTGCATGTATCATCTGGAGCCCCCCTATTATGCATGTCACATAACTAGAATTGAAAATATTCAAAAGAAATTCATTAAATGTTTAGATTACTGCTGCTGTCACCCTCATGCATCTTATGAGACCTCGTTAAGATACCACAATTTGTCATTGCTCTCTGACAGAAGAAAATACTTTGATCAAATGTTTTTATTTAAAATAATTAATGGTTATATTGACTCACCCCCACTATTAGAAAGAATATATCTAAGAGTGCCCCGACATGGTTCCCGCTTGCGAACATTATTTTCGGTGCCCTCTTATAGAACAATATACACAAGTAACAACTTTTTCAAACGCAGTGTTTGCACTTATAACGAATAATTAAATGAACTAGACATATTTAATACCAGTTTCAATGTTTATAAATCTAAAATTAAGCAGAAATATTCTCAGAGTTTGGAAGGGAATTATATCACGGTTACTTTATAAGTATGTAAATTCATTTATCATTTTAAAAACTTTATCTGTATAATTCTTTTTTTTTTTAATAATTATATACTACTGATTTGACACCTTTAAAAAATTCCTTTTCGTATTTTATTGTTTCATGGAACTCTAGGTCTGTATGTATCACACTGTGTTGTAATAATTTTATTTGTAAGAGACTGTTTGTTTCCTGAATAGAGAAAAATAAAATAAAACAATCAGTAATGCAATATCGGTACATTCAACCGATTCAAATATCATAGTATAAAATGTTCAGTTATTGTTGAAGTTACCTGATAGAACTGCTCAGATATATCAGCGACGGCGAAGCAGAGCGTCCGTAGTCCGTCGCAGGCGAAGAGCTCGAGGTGTGAGAGCGTAGTGTCGGCGTACTGGGCGTGCTCGCCGCCCGCCAGGCGGGAGTAGATCACTGTGTCCGCGCCCTTACAGTATAGCTTGATCTCACCTGACATCATTACATCAATGTTTATATTGCGAGGCTTTGGCTAAGTGACCGCTGACGCATAGTTTGTCCGTAGTAGGAGGCCTCACCCGTGGGCGTGCGCACGATGACGGACATGCGCTTGCGCGCCGAGGTGAAGTCGAGCACGTTGAGCACGGAGTACTCCTCCACGGCGTGCGGCGCGCGCATGCGCACGGAGCGCGGCGTGCGCTGGTCGAACACGTAGCCCCACTGCGCCGCGCCCAGCACCAGCGCGCGCTCGTCTGGGGACAGCCTTGTACAATAACTGCTCGGTTCAACGAACAAATACAACTAGAACCTTACAGTAATATACGTCACATGACGATGAATTTGTTGTCTCACAGTAATAATGTTATCTTCATTGAAGGCGGATTTTAGGCGTCCTTCGCGAAATTTGACACAAATAGTCGTATATAGTATGTCCATTATGAAATTTTAAATACCAAAGTTCGATAGTCTACAGATGGGCAAGCCCCATGGCTTCATCACCGAACCGAACACAGATGTTAGCTTATCAAAACACTGAAGCCGTGTCAGACCTCTTCTAAAGTTGTAGAAAATTATTGCACGAACATTTTTCTTAGAATGATTCATTTTCGTACGCAACCTGATAGATTACAATCGACGCTGGAACTTAACAATAGCAATAATCCTAATACTTTTAACTTACACGCATTCGAATATAGAAAAGTTGCAAATTCAAATTGCCGGAAAATACGGAAACGACAGAACTTAAAAGGTACGCCTTGTACTAGACTCAGTGAGTCACTCCCTGCAGGACTGACTGACCTGGCGAGGCGGCGTGGTAGTTGAGCTGGTCGCCCACTCGCTCGGGTATGACGGTGTGGCAGATGGCCAGCATGGTGAGGAACTCCCGGATGACGGGCGCCGTCGGGTGGTTGCGCTGCATGTTCTGGTACAGCAACGTGTCCTCCAGCTTCTCGTCGGGACCCTTGACCGTGTATATTATCTACGGCAAACATTGATGGTTCAACTACAGAAATGGTCCAACCGTACACTACATGGAACCCCGTGATAGATTACCTCTCCGATGCTACATTTGCGGAACTCCATGACGTTGCAGGTGAGGGTGCCGGTCTTGTCGCTGAAGATGTACTGCACCATGCCGAGCTCCTCGTTGAGGTTGGAGGTGCGAGCCATGGCGGGCGTGTCCGTGGCCGCGTGGTACATCTCACTGTCCATCGATATGAACTTCGCCTGCAGACGACCATGCCATCAAACATTGCGAACATACATATTACAAGTACTTGTGTTTCAGTAAATGGATGGGATATACTCACTTGAAAAAATCTAACTATTTCTGCAGTAACTTGTAACGATATAGGTATAAGGTTGTTGTACAATATTAAAAATGTCAAAAAGTTAAATACGAAATGTGCATTCTGCGCGTCTGTAACAAAGAAATAATAATAGTTACATCAATGCTATGAACAAACAACATAATACTCGTAACACAAACAGTTGACAGTAACAATCTATACATTCATTCATCATTTTATATCGATCATTTACAGAAGGGCAGGACTCTTGTTGAGTATAATAATATATATTTTTTAGGAGTCAAGTATACAAGAGGACGATAACATTCAATTATCTTTTTTACCGACTTCTGTTATTGACAGTTGGGATTGTCTTCGTAAGTAACTTCAGATAGGTGCTTAAAGAAGAAATATGATTAGTATACCTTCGAGTCCAATATACCAGTCGCTGTGCGCGCGCATCCAGAGCTCGTTGAAGGCGGCGCTGACCAGCGACAGCGTCAACAGGATCAAGAACAGCAATAGGATGTGTGTGTTGGTCTGACGGTCGATCGACGACCGCTTCAGGGGGGCTGGGGAACATCAGATGTGGGTAAATTAGTATGCCACTTAACGGATAAGTTAAGAGCTGGTAGCAATAAAGACAACAATTATAGTCTCAAGTAGTCAAGATCACAATCTTTTGACGTCCACGACGACATCTAGACTCAGTACAACTATTTCTGAATTACCAAAAATTTTTAGTGCAGAAATGGCACCAGACGTTGCACGTAGACGTATACACGAGATTTTAAAAGTACGTCATCCATTTTGCGGAAACCGATATCTTACTACACAAAATTAGCGCAACTAGTTATTCATTGCGCAAAAGAAAGGGTACGGTTAGAATTTAGCGCAAGTGCGTAGATCGAGAGGTGTACCTTTGGTGGAGTTCTTCATGAGTTTGGTTTCGTGTCCCGTGTAGACGACGACGCCGTAGATGTAGTTTGTGTTGCGAAGCATGGAGCCGCGCAGTAACATCTGGTCCAGGCCCAGTGGTATCGCTCTGTAACAATATTACTTATTGATTCGGATTCTTTCTAAAGGTTGTATGACATCAGCATCATTATCAAAAATAATACCTATATAGGAATTAAAATATGTCAGACAGCATACACTTTCATTTCAGTCATATGTGCAGTGTAATAAAAATCAGTTTACCATAATAACAAACTTGTTGCTAAAATATATTTTGTTAACATGGCAACAGTTTGTAAATTCGATGATTCTATTCCATTTACAGTCTGGATAAAAACAAAAGACAATGGCGTGTTTGAATTACTCATTGATATGGTAATGTTTTAAAACATCGGCGATGGTTGCTGTTCACGGTTCAATTTAGTTACGCTACAGTAAAATAAAATCTTTACTGCTGTGTATTGTCAAGGACAATGTAAGGACATCTTACCTCTAACGCACATGGGTACACTCACTAGAATTTTATCCCGTCAAGCTTATTTACTTATAGGAATTTAATGAGGTTAATTTTCGCGTAAACATACAATGACGCGGTAACTTGGGAGTTATTTTACTTTTACTTTGATTTAAATTTATCGATTGTACGTACAAATAATTCCTTAACAAATTGTAGACCTGATTAATAAACAATAAAGTTGAAAATGTAATAAAGACTGAAGATTGAAGGAGGTGCCTTCTTCTCGACTGTACTTACATTGCAAAGGAGGGATATGACGTCTGTCACATAGTATTGGTATTCTATCCAGCCTGTCATTGTTTCAAAGGCCCTTGTCTTGTAACATTGTATGACTAATGAATATCCATAACATAACATCATAACATCACGCCTTTTATCCCCGAAGGGGTAGGCAGAGGTGTACATTCTGCCACTGTACAATGTAACACCCACTTTTCACTATTTATGTTATGAGTCCCATGTAATAGGGGGTGAGCCTATTGCCATATACCGGGCACATTTCCAGACTCCGTGCTACTACTGAGAATTTTTTAAAAACCCAGTAATACTTTGCCCGACCCGGGAATCGAACCCGAGACCCCTTGCCCGGCAGTCGCACTCGCGACCACTCGGCCAACGAGGCAGTCAATACTAATGAATATCCAACTTAAAGAAATCGGTTCACTGCGATCTTTTGGCACAACTAATGAACGAGATCAGCATTTTTGGATTACTGGCAATACTGATAATTCACAAATGAAGAAAACAAAAGTCAACAATAATTTTTACGACCAAGCTACCCGGATTCCCGGATAGCAAACTTGACTCAGAACATTAGCTGAGAACAGTAACCATGGCTTACTTGTTGTTAGAATCTTTAAGCAATCCATTGAACTCGTAGAGATGTCGGTTGGGCTGCTCGCACTGTATGGTGGCTCTGAAGTCGATGAGAGCTGGCGTATTGTCCAGGTGCACCGTCTCCTGGTGCGCCTGTCTGATCTTCAGGTTCGTCTCCCCGTCCAGGTTTGAGGTCTCAATGAATGAGATGCCTTGTGGTTCACTGTGAATGATGGAAGATTGGATGTAGTAAAACTAGTGTGTAAATCTAGATTACATTTAGTATGTGTGTTTTTTATCTACAAGGCGTTGTGTTTCAAAGGAATGTGTAGAGGGCCTAATACGAGTTAATTTTACGTTTAAAGAAATTGAAACGTTACTGCGTCTAGCCCTCTGATTGGCTATCTCCAATAAACCAACCAACCAGAGGGAGACGGTCGATCTCGATGTACGTAAATCAAACTCGTACTGAGCCCTCAGCTCATTAGTGAATCCATTTCGCTGCTGATTATAAATCTGTATCTTTATGCAATTAAAAATAATGTTACATACACAAAGTATGAAAGCTTTTGAACCTTAACCCAAAGAACGTAAGGTTGAAATCTCTATCAGTCATCTTTTGCATATTTGAATAAAGTGTATTCCGTAATAAAAATACCAACATTTCAACCGGTGACTTGAGCAATTCCTAGACAAGTGACGCTCGGGTAGTGCATAGTTTTTCTGAGTGCAGAGGACGAAGTAACATTGATGACTAAACCGATTCGTTATGATTGCGTGATTACATGCGCAGACACGCGAATCTAGTGACGATTATTAATACATAAATATGTGTAAATCTATAATCTTACTTACTTGTTTGATTAGAATATTAGGTTTGTCAAAGAAAAAATACAACTATATTTATTCTAGAATTCTTTTTTTTTTAAGGGGGGAAAATCATCGAATGACTGCTCCCGCCTGGGTGAGGCGGGAGGGAGTGTCAGACTCTTACTGACTAAAAACCACCCCGTTCCTTCTCCTGCACGTCGAGTCGGAGCCCCGGTTACCTGTTAAGTTCTCCGCGACATTTATTCTAGAATAAGACAACGAAACAATGTAACCAGAATTGAAACCTATGGACTTTTTTGCTCGCTTCTACTCCTACACTTTGAAACGAGCAAATAGCTTCACTAGAGGACTGACCGATGGACTGACATTTTTAATATTTTGTTTGACGTTCTAAAGTTCCTTCCTGGTCTAATTGAAATAACTGATTGTGACGTTGACTTTACTTCTTGAGAAAGGCTGTACGTTAACGTTACATTAATGAAGTCGTCACAATTAAACGGTGAAACTGCGATAGCGAACTAATTACTAGACCAGTTTTAAATCAAACAACAGTTAAAATAAATTGTTGACTGACAGTTAACGTGGTTACACGTACGAGTAGAGCAATGAATATTTAATAATTTTGCTAACAAGTGCAATGTCGTTGCGTGTGCTGAACTTTGTTTCTATTTTTATAAACATGATGACATGTGAAAATGATTTATTTACGGCATGACTGGATTTTTTAAAGCCCTTACTGTGGACGTCTCTAAATGAGTCACAGGGCCGGCAGGTTAGAAGCGACACGCAACCAGCTGTTTGTTTGATGTAACTAGTTTTAATGGTATTTCTAGACCCTGAATTTTGCAAACTCATACTGACACATTCACACTTTATTCAACACGATGGATGGTAACAAATCTTTCAGCATTATTATTTACATTGCATCCGTCGCTAACGTCCTAGTAATGGAAGACGTTACCTGGAAGCCAGCACGACAATGTCTCCGGGGAAGAACTGGTTGTTGACGACCTTGCAGATATCCCCCACCACCAAGTCCTGCCAGAGGATGGTGGACCACCGGCCCTCGCGTAGCACCTCCACCTTCCGCCTGTTCGTCTCATCGTCTGCTCGGTGACGCTTCTGAATATAACAAATGAGAACATTTGTTAGTAGTCACTTGTTATGTAGCAGTTGAAATGTTCTGTTATTGTAATGGGTGGTTTAACGATTCTCGTGTTGGGCGAATCAGCTCGGTATCCAAATATTTGATAGTGTCTCAGCCATGTGTCTTAGCAAAATCAGACTACTGTCCCGTCGGGTCACTGAGAGTGCGGGACTGAGTGTGCACCTATGTTTACGCACACAGATGTGTAATTAAATACCTACTGCATAGTAGGCTCGTCTAGTTAGACAGCGGGAGACAGGGCCTGAGAGCTAGTAGTTAAACATGCACAACACATTTAGCTAGAGCTAGCAGACAAATAACCACTGGATCAGTCCAACAATACCGTTCAGTTCTGTTTCTTAAACGATAAGTAATAAGTTACCTGGACATATTCACACATCGAGTTATATGAACTACCATATTGTTATCGTACTTTTACATTTTCAAACCAAATTATTTTCCAACGCGCATGGCAGAGATTATTTCGTTGATAGTATACTCATACGTATACATACACATAGCTACGATATAATCGGATTTGTTTCCAAAAGTTGTTAAGGCACCCTCGTTATTTTCCTTGTTCATTACGTACCTCATTAGTAAAGAACGGATCGTGTGTCTTTTTAATTCCATACAAGTAGATATTTGTTGTTTTAATAATTATGTTTGGTAGAAATATAGAGAGGTCTTAAACTTTATTAAATGACAAGCGACCCGCCCCGGCTTCGCACGGGTATTAATGTGTTATACATATAAACCTTCCTTAAGAATCACTTTATCTATTTGAAAAAAAAAAACGCATCAAAATCCGTTGCGTAGTTTTAAAGATCTAAGCATACATGGGGACAGACAGACGGCGGATAGCGATTTTGTTTTATACTATGTAGTGATGTTTCCTCAATATTTTTACTAGACAATCTTTACAAAATAACTGTTTAAAATGATGGAAGTAATAAACATCAATAGTCTACTGCTGGACTATCACAGGACTATTAATTAAAGGATCGTTGCCAATATACTCACGAAGTCTTCAACGATTTCCTTGAGGGCGCTGACGCAGAGGATGAAGACGAGCGGAGTGACCGTGGTCCAGCGTCCCGTGGGAGACACGTCAGGGATCTGTTGCAGCAGCCCGATCAGCAAGAAGAAGCAGTTGGAGTAGCGGCGGAACTGCTCGAACAGGAACAGCGGGATGAACGAGGGAACGCTGTGGAACATCAATGTATATTGAGTACAAAGCTATTACAGTGGATGTTGTATATTAAAGTTAGCATGGTATAGAGTTGAGTCCGAGGTTATAATTCTGGGAGCTCTAGGCACAACATACAAGTAAGTAAAAATCATGTAAATAAAACTTTCCTTTCCCATTATTATTTGAATAATTTTCCTGTCCTCGTTCACGGGGAAAAATCCATTTAACCGGCTGTAACCACCATTTCCAGTAATCAAATAGGAAAACAACAGTAAAAATATCAGTAATAAGTGTGTGTACGATCATGTAAACGATTGACGCGACAGTCGTAAATACGCGACAGGTAATCGTGAAGTTTGTAGGTACTTTGGTCACAGTTCAGCCAGGATTACGATAGCACGATAACAGTTACAGTTGTATCTAATACGGTAAATTGGTTTACTCTTGAAAAATACTTAACAGCTACTGAGGAAAATATTTTCGTCATTAAAACTTACAAAGAATATGGAGGGTGAAATATGGGTTATAAAACCGTTTCTTCTGAACATTTCCTTCCGCAATATGAAATGTAAATCTACTAATTGGGCGAGAAACGTTTTGAATATTAATGAATCAGGATGCGGGAACTGAGGGAATGAAAGCACAAACAAACGACCGAGGGATTATATAAAAGAGTGAAAGAGGAGATGGCGCAAATTAGGAAATAATCAGAGGAATATTGTTGTTTCTCTCTCCCCGAAAGAGACACAAGAATATGGGTTGAAAAGTATCTACTTATGTATGTATCGCTTTATAAGGTAACTAATCATTAGTTCTAGCCCTCCAGTGACATTAACAATTCCCAAAGACACCACGTTATTCACGAAGGTTAGTAGGAGTTACAAAAAAGCAGCTCGATTAAATAATGAATAGTGTCCCTACGAGTGGTGGTAGAGGTACCTACGTAGTAAGTGAACATGGTTGTATTCAAGTGGACAATCATGACTCATTAATGATAGGTTAGCTGCTTTGATCGTATCGAAAGCAAATTGTAGTGAAAACATCGATAAATTATAGGTAGGACCCAACCGAAGCATTGAATAGAAGCTATTTAATTTATCAACTACCAAGAAACAATGTTTGTTTTTCAACAAATGGCTGTTTATGTAGGTACCCAATTATTTGGGTATTACGTACATACTTGTGAGTGCTTGTTTTGATTACCATTCGGTTTTTGTACAAATATTTTTATCAACAGATGATCTAACCGCACCTTTACCAGCGTGTTATTGTAATGCACCATGCATCGTATTTCCTTCAACTCAATTCATTTATTTCAGGCTATATCATCATAGTCTCATATTGGTAATATTCCGTCTAGTTTCCACCGATCTCTTTACTTTTGTAATTTTCAAACTACAGCTTATTAATAACTACACTACTATAACGCTCTAAATTCATTTGAGAAGCCGTAAAAGGTCAAGATACTTATTTTTATTATATTAGTTCGCAATGCACATAAAATATTGACAACACACAGTTCTAGAATCGCTGCATACATGATCTCATAACTTCATATCATTTTCCGTCTTCTTCCGTCGGAAAATATAATAATAATAATACACAACATATCTATAAATATGTGCTGCAATTCATGGAATTATAATGAACAATACTACCTATAGGTACCTACTGATTGTATGCATTCATTAGTTTAATTTGAGATTCCCTGCTACTGCTAGGCAGCTACGTAGTTACGTAGATTTGCAATCTGGTTGTATTAGGTAAGTGGGTATGTGCTTGTATGGAGAGCTCATAAATATATAGATAATATAGATAACTACAGTTTCTGCCAGCGACTTCGTTCGCGCAATCCCGCTCTTTCCGGTTTCCGTTCGTGATTTTTGGGAAAACGTAAAAAAAATGTGTAAACAGTATCCTATGTCCGTCTCCTGGGTCTAATCTACCTCCCCACCAATTGTCATGCAAATCGATGTAGCCGTTTTTGATTTATAAATAGTGATGGTGCGCCTGGTGGTAAGCGATGATGCAGTCTACGATGGAGGACGTTGTCCCATAAGCAACCTATTCACTCGGTACACCAAAATGGACAAACAACGTCATCAGAAAATTAGAAATGCTTGGTTAGTAATACAGTACAATAAACGAAGTACTGTCAGTTCATAAACCTTCACCCTGAAAGAAACAGCAGTAAACGCGTATAATAGTAAAGTAATTGTGTTACATCCGTACGTACATGCTCGAGTGAAGTAAATTAATTGAATAATGCACACGGACGCGCTTGCATTAATCGTCACGCGATGGACGACAGGTGCTGAACTTTGTCACAATGCGAGTTATGAGTGACGGACTGGCATTGTGATGCGCTTATCGGTATAACTTGTCTAATGTGCATGCTTTGTGACTTGGGAAGTTCCGACTAGAGATAAGAAACTGAGTCACGAAAGAATGACTTTAGTCACTCTAGCATAGACTTCAAAATCCTTGAATTTGATACTTAGGGCCATCAGAGCATCACATGGAATAGGGGAGAGGATTAGAGGGCAGGCGAATGGCAGTCCCACTCTTTTGCAATTACAGATGATTAATACTACCGCCGCATTGACAGGTGGGGTACCAAGAATTGAATGTGGCCTTTTTTCCTCAATACAAATATTATGGTACATTTGCTGATGGTGTGTGCTTGGAACGGAGTACAACGTGAGATATTCGTGAAGGATTTTAAAATAAAGAATTTTGATGTAGGCATTATCCGCTTTATCTGTACTATCTTCAGCGATGATTAAAAAGCAATAATAAATCATGTAATCCTCAAGAGTAAAGAAAATTTAATAGTCAGGTAATGTAAAAAGGATACGATGGGGCTGACATATCTGTGATAATTGGCCCAAAAGTTGTTAGTTTAAAAAATATTATGGTACAACATCTATGAGCCTTTCCGCTAATAATACAGGATTTTTTTTTAAGGGGAGAAAATCATCGAATGGCTGCTCCCGCCTGGGTGAGGCGGGAGGGAGTGTCAGACTCTTACTGCCTAAAAACCACCCCGTTCCTTCTCCTGCACGTCGAGCCGGAGCCCCGGTTACCCGTTAGGTTCTCCGCGACAATAATACTGGATATAAGTTGAAATAACTTGAAATTTATGTGGATTAATTAAAAAACCTAGCTCAACTGCTCAACTTTCCACATTAAAATCTACTGCAAATTGAAACTAACAATAAAATCACGTGAGATCGCAGGTGTAGGCCTAATAAGGGAGCATTATAATTAGCAGCCATGCAGCCATTGCCACGCACTGCTGCCATACTGACTCACTTCCTGGAGCTTCAATGTCAATACTAGGACAATGATACTCAGTTGAACATGTGAAACAAGTGAAACAAGTGAATTTATTTCTGCAAATAGGCTACAAGGCAGCACTTTTACACGTCAATTTTATCAAGTGAACGATGAGGTCGACATTTCCTAACTGACTACTCTGAGAAGAAATGCCGAAACAAACTCAGAGGTCTGTCTCTTTTAAAGTCCAGACAATATGTATAACAGATTATGTGTGAGAACCGTGCCAGTTCTTTTTGTAGTGGGCTTTTGAGGAAAGAGGGCTTTTGGGCATGTAAAAATATGTTCATCCAAAACGCAATGTCAGCAGTCAAAACCTCATGGAAGGTTTGCAAAAAGATCACGTCTCTAATGAAGCCTCTCATGGAACGATCATCATTTAACTACATGATTGTGGAAATATAAGTTTCCGAAATAGTAAGTAGTTTCCGTGGAGATAGTGATGATATATTAAAGTATATGACATCGGTATACGGAGTACGGGCACGCGGCCAAGCGTCGCGGCGCGCGTAAACAATGCGCCGTGTATACAATGCCGGTCCGGTGTTTAGGCACGGGTATTGTCGCCTCGCAAACTTTACGATCCAGCCGAAATGCTCTGCGAATGTCGAAAGAGGACCAATATAATTCATACGGAGCGCCCCAAATTATGTTCTCGAAATATAAAAGTGGCCCGAGTGTTTCCGATCACGTTTCATGAACATTATGTCTCAGTTTGCACGTGGATCGATTGACTGGCCTTAGGTAAAACTGTATTCTGTATTGCACAAGAAATGTACGATATCAAGTAAACAGTAAATGCTATTTGGATTTTAGTTATTGAATAAATAATAATATCAAATCGAAATACTTAGCGTAGCGATTCAAACGAACTGCGGTTTCAATATGAGGAATGAATCAGATCTTTTTATTAGATCTTAATTCAACTAAACGGGTGTCAGTTTCAACTCTGGAAAACGCATTTTCTCCTCAAACCACTGAGGTTAAACTTTCCACGGATCTTATTACTCATTTTTATTAGAAAATGTAGATATGTGTAACTGATATAGTAGTTTCAATTTTTACATAGACGGTGAATGCATGTTCATACAGATTGTTGTAGATAGCGGGCGCCTCGCGTGCTGTGTCTGTGATAGTCTCATGATTGTTCGTTAACAAGTCTCAATAATTTTCTATTCACAGAGAGGCATAAACATTAAATAAAATGCAATATTACGATATTGCATTTTATGCACTGCACTACGGTGCAGTGACTTGTTCTTGGCTATTCTGTGATTCTTGGCCGCATGCGGTTCGGTTTATTATGAAGAACCTAGTTTTTCAGTAGTTGAGTAGAGTCGCCATAATATGTCATTTACGACAAGGAACAGAGTCAAAATTGCATACATCGGCAAAGCAGCGCAGTCACTGGCACAGTAATAAGAAGGAAAGCAGTCAAACAGAACGTTGAACTGCATGTCACTATCGGATATCCGTCGGTCGCTACGGCTACCGGATTTGTGACGGGACTTTATGTCAAGTCTGCATGGAGGACGGACTACATAGATGTGTTCTATATCTTCCTAAAACTGTACCAAGTTTATGAAGTTGTTTTTTTATTATAAGCTCAACTTAGTCAAATGGCGGAGGTTGGATACGAAGAATTGAAGATCATGTTCAGTGACGTGCTATTGGCCAGGCATATCTAGTGATAAACGGAAAGGAATTGAGGATGATGATGATGAATACAAAATATAATAAGTACCTGTATTTAGCCGTAGTTATTCGATTGTTAACGAATTTTATGGGCTGCGGTCTGTTCAAGAAGATTATTCTGTTTTGCTCGAGCGGCGGTCCGTCTGTCAGCCCGGACGTCGTCGCCTCGTCTTCATCTAGAAACAAGAAAAAGAAAATTTCAATACTCCAGTCGTTGCAAACTCTTGGCAAACTGGTATAACGCAATTATGGAGAATAAGAATTCTCCTCAGTTTGTTTTATAACTTTTTATTAACGAGGTATTCAGTTCTACATTTTTAGGTGCAGACGATTTAGACTGCAGTTGGAGAAAATGCATACAGAAAGTGTAATAAAATAAAAATGTACGACAGCATTACATTAGTATTCATTGCCCAGACAGAACCCTACATATTGAGTCTCATAATTTTAAAGAGCTTCAGAAAATATCACGAACAACGTCATTGAATAAGCAATAAGTAATCGTCTGGAAATATCTCGGGACATGGCTGTGTGTAGAAGTGGGCAACGAGGTAAAGGTCACCGATTTAAAATATGTTTTGTGATGTCATTGTGCACAATTAGTCGCGGCTAAATCACAGCGGATTGTTGAAATATAAGTTGATGTCAGTCGCGCGCTATTGCTACTAAATTGTCGTGTCAACATGTTGGCTGCTGGTAATGCTGGTATCATTACTCACGAACAGCTCAAACCCACAGTATCACAGGTCATTGCCTTCATCTGCAATCAGGTCGGTGCAAAAAGAGAAAACACGAAGCGTTTAGTTTTTGCGCCGCATTGAAAACTTTCTAATGAAAAACTGTATGAAAGAACATTGCGATGCAAAAATATCTGACGTTTCAAGGAAACATTATAAAGTATATGTGCATCGCGTTCCTTCGCGGAATGGTAAGGAACATAAGTACATTTTTGCACCGTTTGCAAGCCAGAATGATAATTGTACTACATTAATTTGACCTTAGCAAATAATGCCGAGTTAAAACAAAATAAACGTTATCAAAATGAACTGAGAGTACTGAGACGCGTCTATAACGAACATGTACCCATTTTGATGAATTTAGGTTTAATTATTTTCACAAAGCCAACGTTACAATGAAATGAGTTAATTGTTTCAGTGAATAATGAGCAATTGTCTCGGTTTCATGTTCATCGGCTCGTGCCGCAGTTGTAACTACACGGCATTAAAATGAAGACATTAATTAACGTTGTTTGGTTTAGTTATTAAGATAAACATGACCACACCGATATGTAAGTATAGGACAAGTTGTTATCAGAAGACTGTTACTGCTAATACACGTACCACTTTATTGTCGAACAAAACTGCTGTATGAACCTAGTTAATCACTTTATCATTTTTAAATTGATTGAACTTTAAACTAATACGGAAGTACCTTGGTAGGTACCTAGGTACGTTAATGATACATAATCAGATCTGTAAGTTTAGTCTAGATTCTAGATCTTGTCAATATTGGTGTCTATCTTATTAGTAATACTCTACAACAGGGCAGTTGTCTAAATTTTATTTTAATGTCCGTCTGGTAGATTAATTTAAAACATTAGACAGGTATTTTTTCATTTCCCATAAAATTAAATAAGTAGGTACTTTCGACGATATATTAATCTGAAATATCGTGTGACGTCACAATAAGCTACATTTTGTAGCATTTAAGTGACGTAACGATAAATATTGTAACTTTATACGTGAAAATAAAAAAATATGTGCTTGTCTAATATTTTTACATTATCTTACTGACGGACTAATTAGATTTTTAATTTTCATTCACTGGCAACGACCTATTCTATCGATATGTCGCGGAGAACCTAACGGGTAACCGGGGCTCCGGCTCGACGTGCAGGAGAAGGAACGGGGTGGTTTTTAGTCAGTAAGAGTCTG